ATTGCAGCTGCCTTGAAGTCAGTCTCTTGATTAAATGCTGTCATGTAGAACTGTGTTTTTAAAATGGGCTGTTCACCTGTCTGCAGAAAGTTATAAAGTAATTCAGTCACTTCTTCATATCCAGTGCCAATTTTTTATTTGTTTCCTTTATATGCAAGACAAAGTTATGTTATTGACAAATTTGTGATCCTTGTGCTTTTAATATAGAACAAAGTTAAACAAAAGAACAACTAGATACAATTTAGGTTGCACGTACTATAAAAATGTGTTGGCCCCCTAAATTTCACTAGGAAATAGAGCTCTTTCAAAACTTTATTTTTTGGTCTTCAGGTATATCTTTAAGTTGCAACTGAGAGTTATTACTGACTATTTCTTCGGTGTCAAACAAATATTGTGTCCAAGGGAATGTCAGGCATCAGAGATTTTATAGGAAAGCTGCTGTATCATTTCCTTCATGTTTGTTGGCCTGATCGTATTCTTTCAAAAAGAAAAGAGGAAGTCCTTATTAGGTCAGTAGTAGTTCTTAGACGAACAGAGTCATAGCTGACTGTTTCTGTCATAGGTTTCTGTCAGATATTCTAGTTTTCATCCTCTGGAAGTCTTGGAGCTAATGGAATTTTAAATTATCATTAGAGAATATAAATTCGCATGAAATATGTATCTAGAAATAGTAATAAATACAGACATTATCATATTTTCTTATGTTAGAAAAATGTGGTAATAGCTAGGTTTAATCTTTAAAAGCAAGCTGAGTTTTTCTGAACTAGTTTAAATCTCCAGTTATCCAGTTATATAAGTACATATGGCATTTACTGAATAGTACCTGTTCTTTGACTATAGGTTAACTGTGCACTTTTTTCTGGTCATTAGATTCTGATTTGTAGTGCATGTTGTGGTCAAGCCAATGACAGAAGGGGATGAAATTATAGACTTTAATAGCAGTGTGCTTTATGTGCTGGTCTTCTGAGCTCACTATAGATAGCTCCCTATTTTTCTCAACAAGAAAGCACTTAAGTTAATTGCTCCATTCGAAAGACATAGTAGCTCTTTCTGAGCAGTAAGTAGCCTTCCATGCATAGCTGCTGAAGTTTACAACACCTGCAGCTGAAGCAGTTTCTAAAAAAGCCATTAGTCTGCATGGAATTAAAAACACTGAAGTTAAAATTGTTATCAATGATGCAGTGTTGGAGCAGCCTAAAAGGTTTGGCTTTTGGTCTGTGCCTAGTGCTATCCAAAACAACATATAAAATTCTTTGTAAACTAGTTTTAAAAGTGTCTTGTTTATTCAGAAGCAACTGTGTACACTGTTTGTTCAGAGAGCAGACTCCAGTCAATTGTATGCCAGCCAACATCTGATTCCTCCTTAGAAAGAAACATTGCCTAATACAGATCATAGAAGACAAAGACCAAAGGGACAAAGTGCTAAAGATAAACAGCTCAATCCCCAACTGTTCGAAGGCCTCAATAAAGTCTCTGATTTACAAATTTGGGGTGGGACTCGACTGTTCCCACCTGCAAGCTTTGTCTGGCATCCTTGGCTCTAGCACAGTGAGGTGCTGGTATGTGTTGTGACCTCTTGTGCCCTGCAGGAGAAAAACACTGGTTTTCTTATGGCCCTAATCAGTAGGTTTCTCTGCAACTTTTCTTTATTGTAATTAAGGGAGGAGGTTTGACTGCTTGGATTTTGTTGAGGCAGTGAATGGAAAGAGCTACCAAAATAGTGTTTGAGACAATTGAATGTCACTGAAAGGTACTCCTACGGTCTAATAGTCTCAGAGCTGCTTTTTTAAACTGCAGTAGTAAGGGTCTGATTTCAGTAATGCAGTTTGTTGGATAGCTGTAAGAATAGTGTGGGTTTATGTAATCATTATTAAATTTTTTTAAATTATTTTTTTAATAAGCTTCAGCAGTGTCTGGAATGTTAAATAATGAGAGTGCCAAAATTTGGGTGGCTGGTTTAACTATTTTCAGCATTAATACAGTTCTTAGCTGGATCCTTATCTTTCCACCCAAAGATGTGAATGGGAAGCTAACTTAAAGTTTCAGTTCTCCTACATCCTTTATGTTTCTGGCTGCTTTTCATAATGAAATTCTGACTCGGTGGGGATGTGTATTTTAGTAAAACCTTAAAAAAGCAGTGCCAGCTTCTACAGGCTTGTGAGCCCAGTTCTGTGGAAGCTCAGGTCCCAAGTCAACATGTTTTTTTACAAACCCCTTTGTCAGTACATCTGCAGTTATTTTGTTCTGACCAACTGTCTGGCCCAGAGTACTTTAAGCAGCTGTGACTCTTTATGCTTCAGTTGTAGGTGTAGTGATAATGGATTGAGACAATAGTCACAACAGAGAAATGGTTTGACACTGGTTTAAAAATTCGCTAATTTTTAAACCAATATTTGTGGTGGGACAAGCACATGCAGGACTGTTGGCTGGAATTTTGCATGTGCGGTGGTTATGACAATTAATTGTCCTGTTGAATGATTGGCCTTTTAAAGTGTTATTTACATATCAGATTGAAATTATTTTCACTTTTAGAATTTAGTGTTTGGGGGATACTCATGTCGGCAGTAACTTATTACAGCCTTGATGCTATGGTGACTCTGCAATTTGTGTATATCATAGAATCACAGGCTCATTTAGGTTGGAAGGGACCTTAAAGCTCATCCAGTTCCAATGCCCTGCACAGGCAGGGACAGCCTCCACTAGACCAGGTTGCTTCAAACCCTGTCCAGCCTGGCCTTGAACACTGCCATGGAAGGGGCAGCCACAGCTTCTCTGAGCAACAAGCAAAACCTCCCTGTTAAGCTACATATGCATCAGTACCTTGTATGCTGTCTGACTGGGTTGTGTGCAAGTTTTCACAATCTAAATAAAAATGAATAATTAAAGTATTTTTAAAAATACTGTCTTTCAAAGAAGGACTTGTGTGGAAATATTTCATAAGAGACTCTGTATTTTTCTAGAACAAGGAAAAGGAAATCTGGCAAGCAAAGGAGAATACATGCCTGTGTGCTTGAACATACTACACTCATTACTTGTGCTTCCTGTCTTGTGCTGTTTATTAACTCATGTCCAGGCAGTTAATGCACTACAAATCTTTAAAATTGCGTTAGTTCTGTAATCACTAGTTGCAAAGGCACTATTCCAGGCCTCAGTGCCCCACTTGTTCTGGCTTTCAGGTGCACAGATACACTCTAGATTTTCAGAAATGGCCATGTGCTTGGTGATGGAATTAGAAGACATTTTTAGACTCAGATTAATTTTTCAATATTTCTTTTAAGTAAGCTTTTCGTTTTTGGTACATTTCCTGTACCTACTACTATTACTATGACATCTGTAATAGTATAAGCAATGGTGGTTTATGGATGCAAGTAGTCAAGTTGTCCCTCTTTACTGTTGTTGGTGAGAATTTACGATGGTTAGCTGTATGTACATGATTTATTTACTACTACTACCATAGCTTTTGAATCCTAAACTTGTCAGAAGAATAAAGAGGAAAATGTTACGGTGCTTATGTGAACTTAAGCAGTAAGGTGGAAAAATAAAGTTAGTGTTTTAAGTATTTGGTGATGAAAATTTAATGGGTAGTCAGGAATGCTGGAAGTGCCTAGTAACATGTTTTCACTAAATCTTAGCCTGAAATTTGCAGCAGACACTTTATGTGATGTTCTTACTGTTTAGAAATGTTATTCGTTAGTGCAAGGTGATGTATATTGTGGTCTAATTAGCCATCAGAAGCAGTTAATGTGATATTTCATTAACCTTATTGATATCTGTAATGAATGTTTATTACTGACAATGTAGGTGTTGTCCAGCTGTTAATGCAGCTTTAAGCTCGAAAAACAAGTCTTATATTCATGTATTTTTGTGCGTTTGTCTGTGCATTTGTCTGGGCGAGGGAAAGGCATTCAAAATGTCGCTGAGCACAGAGCTGAGCAAAGGTCAGACACAGTGCAGTCAGCTGCACTTAAAACTGTTCTTCCTAAGACTCCAACTTTTTGGAAGACCAGCGGTCATTAAATCTGTCTCTAGGCTTGGCTCTCAATGTCCATGAATAAAGAAGGAGCTTCCTTCTACCACCACTTGAAGAACAGAGTCCTCTCAAGGCCTAAACTGAGTCTGATCATTATCACTTGTTGCTATGCTTCAGATGGAAAACCTGATAGAGCTTTTAATACCTAGCCTGTCCAGGCATCGTTGTACTCAGTGCATGTAGTTTAAATGCCTCACTTGCGTTTTCCTATTTTTATCAATACATGCTATATTTAGTGTGTGAGTGAACATGTAGCCCTTCTTCATTCACTAATGAAGTTTTCATTTCTGTTTCTCCATTATTATGAGCAAATAGCCAAATGCAGTTTCAAAGTTCTTGAGTACCCTGAGGATTCATTGTTGTCAGATCAGAATATGTATAAATGGATAAGATTATTTAGAAGGTCTTAAGTACAGGTTGCCAAGTCGCTTTGATACTGAGCAAAAAAATCGCTGTAATGTCATAAATTTTGGTTTCTGCAGCATTTAGTTTTTAAAGTATATTATTTAAAAATTAGAAATTCTATGGTAACTGGCATCCACTACAGCCTCTGCTTTGCAGTGAACCTTAGTAGCATGCTTTCACCTGTCAGTTTCCCAGATTAAATTGATTTTTCCATTCTATTCCATGTGCTGTATGTTGTGTGATAGCGAGCTGTAAATGAAAAACACAGGCATGGGGAATTGTATGTCTATTGTAATTTTCTCTTCCTCATCTTCCTGACTCTTAGTTTACTAATTTGGGACTATTCAAGTACATTTGTTTGTTGTCACTGTTCTTTTAAACCTTACTTATTGTAATCCAGTTTTCTGTTTGGAAACCTTAATTCTCTGCAAATCTGAATTTGTGGAGGAAAGTAAAATGACATTTTAAGTACACTTATATTTGTGTGTTTTTGTGTTGTTTTTTTTTCCTAAGCTGGTTATATAAAACTGCTAAGGACCTCTGGAAAATAAGCCATTGGTTATAAAAGGATTATCTTACTTCCCAAACAGGTATCTGGAAAATGGAGAAGACTTTGAACAGAATTCATCCAGTTTCTGATCCAGAAGCAACGTATTTCCTACAAGTGTCATGGGAAAAAGATTTAGGTGCTGGCTTTGGTATAACACTAACTGATGGTCAATGTGCATGGACTGGGGCAGGTAATAATGTAAAGCAAAAAAACCCAAGCCTGTATTAAGTTATTACTGTTCTTTATTATTATTACTGTTCTAGATTATTTTTTGTTATATGAATAATTTTCTAGACTGTGACCTGCAGCTTGCATCAAAAACTTTTTATGAACATCACTTCTTCCTGGTGAAAGAGGAGGTGTAGTTCATGATCTTCTGGGAAGTGTTCAGAGGTCTTTCAAATTTGGAAAGACTCTGTGTCAAACCTAATACTAATTCATTTAGCATATGGATATGCAATATTTTGTTCTTTCTTAAGAATTTAATGGAGTGCAGTGATATTGGAGGAGTACCACTTACATGTCTTCTCCAGATTCTTGAACAGTTATGCAAGTTGCATTTGCAAACTGTAGTTCAAGAAGCTTTTAATTGCAGATGGTTTTTAAGCAGTTTTATAAAATCTTAATAATTAAAGGTAGCTCTGTTTGGTACTCAGGTGAATTTTAGAGAAGGAGAAGGGACTAGATTTTTTTTTTTTTCTTGGCACAAGTTGGAAGAAAACCTGAATAAGAAAATGGGTCTTTTAATAGGTGCGTACTTCTTTCATTCATGCTTAACGAAAAGAAGAAAGATTTGTGTGTTCATTTAGGTATGTGTCAAATGCTTGATCAGAAGCCCTTCTCTCAGTGGCAAAAATATTTCAGAGGGAGGAAAGAATAATATATTTCACAGCATATTGTAGGTGAAAACATTTCCTGACTCTTTTTTTTCTATTTCTGACTCTTCATTTTCTATAAGAATATATGACCATGTAGTTCCTTCCTTCCTTCTTTCTCCCTGCCCAGCTGACATTGTTTCCCCCCTGCTCAGTTCCTGTGTAAACCGAGCTTTCAAATAGGCCTTATCTATCTATCTATCTATCTATCTATCTATCTATCTATCTATCTATCTATCTATCTATCTATCTATCTATCTATCTATCTATCTATCTTATCTATCTATCTATCTATCTATCTGTTTACCTACCTACCTACCTATGTGTCTATCTAACAGGGCTTTGTGTTTGTGTGTATACAAACTATGTGTGTATATATCTAGCTCCTATGTATAAAAAGAAGCTTAATCATTCATTAACCTTATTTTGAATACAATGTTTACTTTTTTTTTCTTTCAAACCTAGGAAATAAGACTAATTTAAAATATGTCTACCTATGCATTAAAACAGCTCTTCCATATTCCTTTTGACATTTCAAACACACTATTGATTAAGAGTTCCTGCACAAGACATATGCATATATTCCCCTGCTGGTTCACTATGGTCTGGCATGAAAGGTTTTTCTTTCTTGATTTGACAATAGGATAGTCAAACTATATATTTTCAAAATAACAAAAGGGATGTTAACATTGATAAATGCCTAACTAATTGAGCATACTAGTTTTTCTGTTTAAAGGCTTTTCTGGTTGTTCTTACATAACTTAAAAATTCCCAGTTTAAAATTCATGACAAGCTGATTCTTTGAATCTCTTATTTTTCTAAGTAAAAGCTGTGTTACTCTAACTGGAAGAGTATAGAAAAAATACATAAACACAGTTCTCGTTTTGTTAACTTCCTGCATCTGGCAGAACGGCTTATAATTTTCCGAAACAGAGAACCAGTGAAAGCAAGATGATCTCACTCTATTGAAAGAAAAGAAAGAAACCCACAGCCATTTAGCATGAGCACAAGGGATTCATCCAAAGGAGAATACTTCTATTTCTTATGCGATCCATTTCTAAGGAAACCCTATTGAATTTGCAGTCCTTTCAATAATTTCTTTAGGAGTTCAAGTTCTTATATGCTTTTTCTAAGTTATTACATCATGTTTGAGAGTGCTTAGACTCTAAATTCAAAATCTGGGATGAGGGAAAGCTCTAATCAGAAAATTCTTGCTATGGGAAATCCCTTTTGAGTTTCTCGTGCTGTGGATTATTTTGTTTGGCAAAACCTACCAGGAAGTGAATGGGGGTTGCTGATGGAGTTCTTTTATGGGTTTTATATATTGAATGTGATGATGAAAAGTGTTAGGAGTCTTATTTAAGGATGGAGAAAAAAAAAAAAGTAAATCTTGGGAGGGAGGAGAAGCACACAAATACGCAATATGATCTAATGTATTAAGTTGGTATTGGGTTAAAGAATTACAGGTATGTGGATTTATACATTCCATGTTTTGCTAATGATCAGTTTTGCTAGTTCTATAAGGTAGAGGAACATGCAGCCAGGTACAGGCACCACTGGAGAAAAACCCAAGTGCTCTATTACAGCATATGTTAGTAACTTTGGTTTTTTAGCTTTTTTCTTTTCATTAAAGATTTATCTCAGTGTTGTTGTTCTAGACAAACACTTATTTCAGCAGTTATTTCCAACTTACTTTTTTCTTCCCCTCTTTGACTCATTCTGCAGGCGATTCCGTATTTCTGTCTCTACTGTTTTGAGGGACTTGAGTGGATTGCTGATGTACTAGTGGCTTCTTTTCTTTCAACCTGTCTTGCATCCTGTACAAGAAATAAGCTAGGTAATCAGGAAATTGGTGGTTGTGATTTATAAAGAAGATAGAAATGTTTTGATGGTAAATTTCTTGTGTGCTTTTCTCACTCAATTCTTGCTATATTTGGTGGATTGTTAGCTCTGCAAAATAACTGTTCAGCAGCACTGTACCCCCAATTTTTCACTGACATGTAGGCTTAGCTTTTTCCCCTGACAAAAGTTCTACTCTTTACGTGAACGTTAAAAGTACTGCTTTGAGTTTAAAAAAAAAAGATGCAGGTGGCAATTGTCAAAGTCTTAAGCCTTTCTGCTAACATCCGTTTCATGCTTAAAATACTTTTTAAGTATCTTTGAAAATACTTCTGCTACTTCATCTAAGATCACAGAATCCCAGGCTGGTTTGGGTTGGAAATGACCTTAAAACTCATCCAGTTTCAATCCCCTGCCTTAGGCAGGGACACCTTCCACTAGATCAGATTGCTCAAAGCCCTATCCAGCCTTTAGATGCATTCAGTTATGTTGAGGCTGAGAGTTGAACTACTTGGTTTACAGTGAGGTGGGGAAGAACTGGTAACACGTGCAATGGCCAGTGTAAGTTTAAAGCCTCCTGCTTTGCATTGACCTTTGTGATGATATGAAGTCCTGTTCTGAAATACCTGTCAGTCTTAATGTGTGAGGATTAATGCAGAGCCGATGTTGACTTAGTAGTTGCTTGCTTGTAGGTCTGCTCATGTTTTCAGTGCTGCATGCTGGCTTTGCTCTTGTTCATGCCCCATATGCCAGTTGGATAGGTGTGGTGCACAGGGATCGAGGCAGTGACTCAGCATTGGAGCTAAATTGTGGCTTTGCACTCAAAGTGCTGTTTGAACGAGTAGTACTAACTGGCTACATACATTGTACTCTGTCTTAGCCTCTTTCTCTTCCTCTATTAGGTAGGGGGTTTACATCTTAGGAAAAGAGATGGTTGTGATGTCCGTCCAGAGAAGAAAGGATTCTGCTGTGCCTTTATCGATTTCTCTGTGTCCTTGTTCCATGTTCCTTTTCATAAACATTTTTCAAACCTTAGCTTAGTGAAGAGGGCTGCTGTTGCCCTTACTTTAGCTCTCCTTGAATTTTCCTTTTGGGTTGTACAAATAAGTTTGAAAAGTATAACGTTCTTCAAACGACGATACCAAGATATAAATGTTTTGAATCATTAGTTTATTAGGTGTCTCAGAGTATTTCAGTGCCCTAAAGCTCATCAGTCTTAGGCTGCATACAAAAAAACATTTACGTACAATTACCTATTGCATCTGCTGAAATGGACAGCAGAATAGTTTCTGTTTTGTGAGATGTGCTTTTACTAGGAACACACATTTGTGAGATGTGCTTTTACTAAGAACACACATCTTCAGCTTACAAATCTGTAGGAACGTACAGTTTAATATGCCACACTTCTTCCTTGCCTCATTATTCCACCCATCTCCTTTTTATTTTTCTTTCTCTGCAATATAGGTAATGCAACTTAAAAGGTGAGGATAGAAGCACCTTCTCCAATTTGGGAATACTGATTATGAAGTTGTTTTGTTTCTGGTTTATTGTAATGCATGTTCCATAGCATTCCTCTATTCTTTTTGACATATAATGACATTTCTGCAGTTTCTGCCATCTGCTGAATGTTTGTGGTGTTGCTGATTTTGTAAAATACTGTGTGTCATACCTTGTCCTTTTACTTTATGTTAGGTTACTGTAAGTGTGACAGGTTTCCTCTTGTATCTTTGAAAGGAGAGCAGAGAATACTCATTTTTAAGTGTTTTCTTAAGAACAATATAGGGAACTTTGTGACAGATTTCAGACTGCCATACACCTGACATTTTTCATCTTTGCATGACAGAGACTGAATTGCTGATATTTATGAGACTAATTCCATTCTTTTTCCTTGATTTTTTACCTTATAACTTCAAAGCAGTTCAGTTCCTTTGCATCCCTTTGCTTTCTGGCTTTCGAAGGACCTAACACATTTGAATCTGCTAGGAAAAAAACCCTTGTCCTAGGGGATAACTAGTGTGATTCTGACCCACTAATTTATCCTTTTAAATGAGCGTATCTGCAGGCTGAGATTTTTCACAGAAAAGGGTAGCTTCTCTTTGTGTCAACCTTTTGTTTCTTTGAAGTGGTGACATTAGCATGCTCTCTCCTGCCACCTGCATCTTTTTCACGTAACTGTTCTCCCTTGTCTTATAAACAGAGTAGTAGAATGGGGTGTTCATGACTGATCTGCCTTAGCAGATTTTGCAGGCGTATGGTAATGTAATCACTTAAAGTGTTTAGAAAGGTAGTATTTCTTTGTGTGCACAGTGAATGTATTTGTGAATAGATGGCTAAACTGATTACTGCGACCAGTTATTAAAAAAAATAAAATAAAGGGCACAAAACCCCAACAAAAAAACGCAACAAACCCCTCTCGGTTAAGTGTAAGATTGGTAAAGCTTACATGTTTTCCATACTTTGAGTTGTGTAGAGAGGAGGACTACAAAAGCTAATACTTATGAACAAAGGCATTTGTATAGAGAAGAAATACAGGTATTAATTAATAAAACCTAATTAGTAGGTTTTTAAGTGGGGTACCTCTTTTTTACTGGGTTTCTGAGTTGGCTTTTGATGTGTGTGTGTGTCTTTTTCTTTTTTTTTTCTTTCCTTTTTTTTTTTTTATTCCCAAGATGTTCCAAATTAATGTCTTTTTGTATAACTTGCTCTCTCAAATTCTAGACAGGTTTAAGAGCAGGTAGGGGCAAGTGACAATCCAGAGCAGTCTTGCTCAGAAGATTGGCCAGAAGAAAAGGAAACACTTCTGTTAATTAAGTAAACAATCTAAAATACTGTATTGGTAAGCTACACATGAAAGCCTGCAGTATGTTATAGATGTCCTATCTTTAATTTAGAGTCTTTGCTTACATCTGTCTCTGCAAGAAAACTCTGCACTCATTGAGATCGTTATTCTGATTAACATTTGATCTTTAAAAGTTCTAAGGAAACACTATGTAGAATAAACTAAAAAGGAAGTAAGATAAGCAGGGGCCCAGGAGGTAAAATCAAGAACTGTTTCTTGCTACTTGTAGCGAAAGATGGTGGGTTTTGGTAACCTGCCATTTCATTTTGAGGTTTTACCAAGACTTAGGAAGAAATAAATGATCAGAAGCAGATGGTAAAGGTTATCATAGCTTTTAACAACAGTACATCTTTATTGGCCTATTCTGTACTGTATTCAGTCATTCTTCATCTTCAAAGGAATGGAATAAAATTTTCTTCATAGACCTTATGTAGTGCAAACTGGAAACACATCCCTCATTTCGTGGTGTTTGAGTGTGAAGGGTAAAACAAGGATTCTTGAGTCTCTTGGTGTAGTTTCATTTGTAAATTGACAGCTTGTTTTTTCTTCAGATTGTAAGTTATAAACTAGGAAAACTAGGTTAAGAATGTGTGAGGAGGCAATATCATCTGTTGTTTTACAGGGTTCAGATTACATGCTTTCAAAGAGACCTCAGAGGGCACAATAAATCATAGTTCAAACGTTCCACTTTCTGTTATCAGGTTAGTGTTATTCAGAATAAGTTTAGGCAAGTAGAATTGTGCACTGGTAGCAATAAACCATTTTTAGACAGAAAACGAACAAAACTAAATTCTTAGGAAAAAGCAGTATTCCTGCTACCTTTCTATTAGCATCTGGCACATAGTATGTCAAGGAAAGAATAGTCTCCATTAAGATATTAATTTTGCCTATTCCTTACAGTATGTGTCTGCCTGTATGTTCATATAAGTATATATACATGCTCACATATACACGTATTCACAAATACCCATAAAGGTATTTCTCACATGTCTCTTTCTGATAGTGTCCGAAGCTGAAATTTCTAGGGAGGCTGCGGACATGGAAATGAACAGAGAAAAGTATGTTGAAGAACTGAAGAAAGCATTGATAGCTGGAGAAGAATCAGTTGGCAGATACAACTTTGCTGTTTCAAGGGATGATGAAAATACGGAGTGTCACTTCTCCTATGAAAGAAATCTGAAGGATGGCTCTGTAAGTATAGTTAAATGTTTCAATTTGAATGTTAAACTATAGGAAGGACCTTTTTGGTACATTTCTGTATTTTATTAGATTATTTGAAATTGACAGACCTGCAATACATATTTCTAACTGCATATTGTGTGCTCTGCCATGGGCCAAACTAGAAACAAGTTTGAGTTTTTCTGGTACCAGTAGAAGCTGGTACCAATATAACTATTTCTGTGTTACTTTCTTAAATGCTACTGCATAAGAATATTATTTGTCTATGTAAGTTTTGGATTAGTGTAGTAATAGGCTGAGGGGGAATGGCTTTAACCTGAAAGAGGGGAGATTGGGATGAGCTGTTAGGCAGAAGCTCTTCCCTGTGAGGGTGGTGAGGTGCTCGCACAGGTTGCCCAGAGAAGCTGTGGCTGCCCCATCCCTGGCAATGTTCAAGGCCAGGTTGGACGGGGCTCAGAGCAGCCTGGTCTACTGGAAGGTGTCCCTGCCTGTGGCAAGGGGGTGGAACTGAATAAGCTTTGATGTCCCTTCAAACTCAAACCACTTTATAATTTTATATTTTGGGTATACCTGCACATTGAAGATGCAGTTCAGTATGAAGATGGTATATTCCATGTAGTATAGCTTTATTCTTAATTCCTAATTTAGGAAGTATGCTTTCCTTTTAAAATTACAAATGCCCAAAGCATTTCTGCTGTGCTTGTTTCTTCTTTCGTCTCTCTATATGCACATAAATAAGGAAAAATATTAAAATTTAAGTAAGATTATTTTCAAATGCAAAAACATACTTTTGAAATGAGCTTTTTTATTTACCTCAAATCTTTTGGAAGCTAAAGCGAAAATTGTTTCCTTCTTGAAATTGCATTAAATTACAGCTGCGTATGCGATTCCATTTTGGTTTCTTGGCTGCCAAGAAAATGGTCCTTTTAAAGCAAGAAAGAAACCAGTACAATCTGTATTTGTAGATACTTTTGGTTATTTTGTGTTGTGATTTGGTGTTAAAGCTTTTCTGGTGAAGAAAGTAATTTAAGGTAATCTTCCTTGTTTGTACTCTTAAAAAAATTAAGGTTTTGATTTCCTTCTCCCTCCTTAAAAATCAATGCTCAGCCTTCAGTGTTCTGATTGCTATGCATGCTTTTATTTTTAGATGTCTAAAGAGTGTTCTTAGAAAAGATGTAATTTCTTGGGTGAAAATATACCTCCCTTCCCCACCCCCATCCCCCCCCTTCTCCCCAACTAGTGCCTACAAATAAAACTGCCAAAGCCTTTGCGAGAATTACAAATAGCTTTCAGGTATATAATAGCATATGTTTCAAACATCTTGCAGCTTCTCTGTGAAAGCACTTATTATGTGTATCGTTCAGTATTAAATTAGGAAATTCATTTTCCTGGGCTCTGTACATCCAGTGGGCTGAGATTCAGCTAAATGTACATTTACTGCAGAGGAAGCCTAGAGAAACTACCCTGTAACTTAAATGTGACTTAAATTCAGTGTTTTATCTGTTACCAATACTTATTTTTCTTACTGGGTATTTGTATTTTGTCTTTATGTCTTTGGCTTAATCAGTATGAAAATGTTATCTTTTCATATTTCAGGAACTCTGTGTGTGTGTGTGTACCGTCGTGAGACAGGTTAGTTTTACCCTACTGATGATGTGTTGTTGCAGTAGTAATGCTGCTTGGTATGAGAGGAACCGCAGGTTCAGACCCCTGGTGTGTGTGCTTGGCTGAAGAGCCACTGGCGTGAGGCTACCATCTGCGGGCTTATGACTGAACACCTCTAAGTCAGAATCCCGCCTAGACATTTGATGATGTGCTGTTGTGTCGTCGGTTGCTAGAGATTGACCCAGGAGATGACAGTCTTGTTCAGAATTCTTGGGTAAAGCCCTTTCCAAATCTTCATTAGCGAAGGCAAGTCATCCTCACAGGAGAAGGAAAACTCCTATCTTCAAACCCGGCTGATGGAGCTCGTCTAGCCTTGTATGGTCCTTTATCTAAGAGAAGGACACTCTTACAAAACCTACAACCTGAGGACTTTGCTGTCACCATCCTAGCTAGCTAGGCCATGGCAGTTAAACCTCAGGTGTAAAGGGTGGGGCCAGTTCCACGCACACTGTGCCTCACCTACAAAATCCACTGCGCAGGCTGGAGGGGTTTACTCACACTTGCAAAGCCCTGTAGCAACAGGTGAGGGATGAAACGGCAGGTGACAAGGTGCACTGGAAGCTGCAGATCCAGCCTTGCATGTGGGTCGTTCAGGACATCGTTCGCTCGAGATTGTCCCAGGAGATGACGGTCCTGTTCAGAAACATCCTGAATGCTCAGGCAGCCTTTTCCAACCAGATTTGCCTATCCCACATTGCTCTTAGTCATCGTGCTTGTAGTAAGCATGGGTAAAGCCTTTCCCAAATCTTCACTCGCAAAGCCAAGCCATCAATCAATCAATGTATATGTGTATAAATTGCCACATGGGCTGGGTAGGGGGTAGCAGGATGGTGATGGAGATGTGTGAGTGGAGGAAGGGGAGCTTTTCGTTAAACTGTGTCGCATTTCTTTTGTTAGATGTGCTACCTGCAGTCAAACTGAGAGAGGTAGTTAATCTTCATGTTTTTGTTTAAAAATGTGGGCATAAAGGAAAAGCAACAGTTATTTCCAATTTTGACGGTAGGACACTTAATACTACTTTAAAGTTCCCTACTTCTCTCCTACCCCATTCTATTATTAATAACCATTGTGAAAAGAGTCCATTAAATTGTTGGGAATAAGTAGAAGATTACTATTCTTAAACCAATGTTTTTATCATCTGATACATAACAAAAGGAGAGGGTACAGAAAGCTATGCATAAAATGTGCTTGGCTGTGTTTGAATGCTGAATCTTTAGCTTAGTCTTAAATAATGCAGTTAACTCTTTTTAGTTAAAAAAACCCCAACCAAAACTCCTGAAATGCATTGTTATCTTTTGTGAGATGTAAAATGCTTATCAGTTCATGCAGCTGTCTATTATTGGATTTTTTTTAATCCAATGAGTACACAGTTTCCTAAGAAGAAATTTAATACTCTTGGAAAATCTGTATGCCTTTTTTTAGAGGTATATGCATGCTTGTATACAGAAACTTAATTATATTTCATCAATTTTAGTGAAACATACCTACAGGATGATGTTGATCGCCAACAGTCATTTATGTCCATCTCAGCCAATAATTTCCAGTGCAGTGCTTTGCCACTGTTTTCCGTCCAGCCTGGGTATAACACTAATTCCTATAAAAGATGAAGAGTACAATGTCTACAAAACAATTTGACATTTTTCTTCTGAATACATCATAGATTCAGTTGAGTTATGTCCTGCACCCTTACTTAAAAATTTTATCTATGCAGTCTATAAATAATTACTGGCTGAAAAGTCTGTGAGGTTTAGGTACATGATGGGTATACCCAAGCTGGAATGTGGTTGTTAAAGCATCTTAAGGAATTTGCAGTGGTGAATTTTTGCAGCCTGTGGGACAAGCTGCTTCATGTTCTGTCTCCTTGCTAAGAAAATTCACATTTATTTGTAGATACCATAGTTTAAATGAATACTCTTAAATAACATTCTTGGTGCATTTGCATTTCGCACTTGTCTGTAATAGCATGGAGTTTACCAATTTTTGTTACTTTAATACGCAAAGAGAATGTATTTGATAAAGCAGAGAAAGAATGTTAAGCTATAATTCTTTTTTTTCTTCTTTTTTTTTTTATATATATATCACATCCATGTTGGACAAGTATACTGCTACATCTGTGTATACCACCTTGGGGTATCAGTTGATTCCTGTGGTATTTGAAATAATTTTTACATTCTTTGGAGCAGCTTGCTAAAGAGCTGCTTAACCTAAAATTATGTGCCAAAATTATATAGGGCAATTGGTATGGATTGGACAAAGAAATGGAAAATACACTGTAGGTAACTATCCTGAATTGGCAGTACAGTACACTAGATGACTTAATAGGTATTCTTCATCCGCAAAACCTGTGAATCTCTGCTAGCCTGCCCAGACTGTGCTCACACATAGTGTCTTCACTAAGGAACTTGTATTTACAGATACAGACACACACATGTTGAAGAGTAGTAGGCTGGAGGATGTAGATCTTGCCTCATGAGAACAGGTCTGTCATCCCTTATTGGCTGCCACAAGTTGGTTGTTCAAAGTTTGTTGTGACTTTTGTAGTCTGGGTGGAGGATTTGAGGGCGGTTGGTCTGAAAGATGATTCTCCACAATAGCAGTAAAACCTGACATTGTAAACACCTCCTCATTGAGGTAAACTTACAAACAAGCTGTTGAAGATCAGATTGGTTTTCCTTTCTTAGCTGGTAGGGAAGAATAATTATCCCCTATTTGCTTATGGAAGATTATAAATTTAGAGATTAAAAACTTGTCTGTGGCTCCTTAAAATTACTTCCCCCTCTTTTGTGCTGCTAACTAAGGCTGAATTTATACCTGTTATTGAAAGCCCTATTTTGAAGGCAAAGGAGAGAGACCCTACAACAGCTTAGGGGAGAGTAGGAAGACAGGATGCATCCAGATGTGAAATCCCTTTGGATATTTTTATGTAATTTTTACCTTCAGTGTAAGTAGAGATCAGGGGAGTCATTTGCAGCATCTGTCAGTCATTCAGAAGACTACAATTTACAACCTAATTCAGCTGTTTAGCTGATAAAGAAATAGGTTCCTTCCCTGAACTGATGTCTACTACCACAGCTAGATGCTTAAAGGTAAATGCTTGCAACTACTCCAGGAGTATTCCTCATATTCTTTATACTCTTTATACTATTTTTTATGTAATGAATGAGTCTACTTAGGGTACTGATTATTTTTTATTTTTTTTAATAAATGGAAAACTTCCCCAAGTCACAAATAATTAATATCTGGTTTAGAAGAGATATATATGTGACATATTTCTTTTGCAGTGTCATAGTGGCATGGGATTTTGAAAGTGTCAGAATTATAATCATAATCTAATTTAAATCCATACG